GTGTTGGAGAAGACTCTTGAGAGTCCCTTGGACTGCAAGGAGATCCAACCAGTCCATCCTAAAGGAGATCAGTCCTGGGTGTTCATTGGAAGGACTGATGCTGAAGCTGAAACTCCAATACTTTGGCCATCTCATGCGAAGAGTTGACTCGTTGGAAAAGGCCCTGATGCTGGGAGGGATTGGGGACAGGAGGAGAAGAAGGCTGGATGGCATCACCGACTCAGTGGGCAGGAGTTTGAGTAAACTCCGGGAGTTTGTGATGGACAGGGAGGCCTGGCATGCTGCGATTCATGGGGTCGCAGAGTCAGACATGACTGAGTGACTGAACTGAACTGGACTGAAGTCGTTAAAATCTTTTTGGTATAGTTCTTCTGTATATTCTTGCATACCTTTTCTTAATCTTTTCTTAAAAATTTATTAAATATCTGACTCTGTGCAGGACACAATATACAGTGCCTCACATAGTTCTTACAACTCTGTGGGGTAGATGCAAACATTCCAGCTTTATTGGTAGAAAATCAAGACAGTGAGAATTTAAGTAACAAGTCTCAAGTCCCATAGCAAATAAATTTTAGCTGATATATGTTTGATTTCAAAGATCTAGCTCTTTCCACTATAATGTGTGATCTCTGTGTATTAACTGTTTCATTTTTCTTAAAAGGAGCCCTGTATCCAGATGGAACATCTGGAAGGAACAAGGATGATGACATGGTTCCTCCTGGCAAAAACTATACCTACGTCTGGCCAGTGAGAGAAGAATATGCTCCTGCCCCAGCAGATGCAAACTGCCTGACTTGGGTATACCATTCACATATTGATGCCCCTAAGGACATCTGTTCTGGGTTAATTGGCCCACTGCTAGTGTGCAAAGAAGGTAAGATGTGTCTTCTCCCCTTCTGTACCTAGAAATCTCTTCCCAAGTGTGCTGAAAAGTGTATATAGTGTTCAGGTCTTGTTTTGCCCACCCCCCTTGCATCACACAGAGTGTGTCTCTTCTTCCAAACTTTCTGTAAGATTAAAGAAATTCTCCTAACATAGAAGATTCATAGCAGGGAAAATAACTCAGACTTCTGCCTAAAAACATCATAGCATTCTGAAACCCATATGCAAAAACCAGACATTGACACCACATATAGGAAAGTGTAAAATGTACTCAAATAACCAGAGATGTTTTGCTTTATTATTTCATCCACATAATCACCTTGCTACTTTGTACCCTGTTAATTGATTTAATGTATCTATGTTTTATCAATAAAGTATATTTCCTTTAAGGGTAGTCAGGTTTCCAAGTCTGTGGTTGTGAGGATTTCTGTTTCAGGACTTTTCTATATGGTTCTGTCACTTCCATCAAAGCCCTTCACTGGTTTTATGTTGTGGGTTACTATTGTACATATAGGTCTTTAAAAATCTTCACATTTACCTGATACTATTGTCATGAAGAAAAGCTCATCTTGGTTTAGTCCACTTTGAACTTTTCTTACTCTTTTAATGTGCCTGATAGGTATCCTGCACAGTTATTCAGGAGCAAGGACTGATGTAGACCGGGAGTTTGTTATAATGTTCACTCTTGTGGATGAGAATCAAAGCTGGTACCTCGATGAAAACATCAGACAATTCTGCACTGATCCTGATTCAGTTGACAAAGAAGATGCTGTTTTCCAAAGAAGTAACAAAATGCACGGTGAGTGTCTCCCATGTTATCAAGTACATACCAACTGCCTTTGGTGTATCTGGCACTACAAGGGACACAAAACACACAAAAATAGCAAGCCAAGCTTTCCAAGATTTATAACTTAATGATGGGAATAATAAGAAAGTGATACCAGTCAGAACCTAAAGTGAAGAAAGAGAGCAAAGAAGAAGAAAGGAGCGAGAGGAGTCACAAGAACAGAGAGCAATGAACAAAATGGTAATAAGCACATACTTGTCAACAACTAAGTGTAAATAGCCTACGTTCTCAAAGCAAAAGACACAGAGGGATTAAATAGATTAAACAGCAACAACAACCAAGCCGAGACCTATCTATTACATTACCTACAAGAGACATACTTTAATTGTAAGGACACATAGACGGACACTGAGTGGATGGAAAAAATTACTCCATGCAAATAGAAACCAAAAGAAAGCTGGAGTAGCTACACTTATATCAGACTTTAAATTGACTTTAAAATAAAGGCTATAATAAGATACCAAGAATGGTGTACATAATTATAAAGGGGTAAATTCAATCAGACTAGGTAACATTTAAAATATTTGTGCCCCCAACATTGGAGAACTTATATATATAAACCAAATATTAACAGACATAAAGGGCAAAACAGACAGCAATACATAATAGTAAAGTACTTTAACACCCTACTTATATCAATGTAGGTGTCCAGAAAGAAAATCAATTTAGAGAATACTGGTGTTAAACAACATGTTAGATCAGATGGACTTAACAGATATTTATAGAACATTCCATCCAAAAACAATAAGATACTCCTCTTTCTCAAGAGCACATGGAACATTTTTCAAGACAGATCATATGTTAGGCCACAGATAAGTCTTAATACACTTAAGAGGACTGAAATCATATCTAGTATCTTTTCTGGCCACAATGGTATGTAACTAGAAACTAATTATATGAAGAAAACTGGAAAATTTACAAACATGTGGAATTAAAGAGCATGTTACTGAACAATCAATAGGTTGAATAAGAACTCTAAAGAGAAATTTTTAAAAAGCTTGAAACAAATGAAAATGGAAATGTAATATATAAAAATTTATGGGATACAGAAGAAAGAATTCTAAGGGGAAGTTCATATTGATAAATGCCTAACTCAGAAAAAAAGAAAAGTTTCAAGTAAGCAAGCTAACTTTACACCTCAAGAACTAGAAAAAAAAACAAATTGAGCCCAAAATTACTAGAAGAAAGGAAATAAAGAAGATTAGAGCAGAAAGGGCAAAACAAAAATGAAATAGACACTAAAATCTTTAATTAGACTCACTAAGAAAAAAGAGAAAGAACTCAAATAAACAAAATCAGAAATGAAAGATGAGACACACAAAGGATCATAAAAGATTACTGTGAACAAATACATGACAAAATGTTGGATAACCTGTAGGAAATGCACATATTCCTGGGAACATACAGCCTACCAAGACGGAATCATGACGGAATAGACTTGGAACAGGCTGACTAATAGCAACTAGTAATCGGTAATCAAAAACCTTCCAACTAACAAAAGTCCAGGAACAGATGGCTTCTTTGGTTAATTCCATCAAACGTTCAAAGAAGAATCAATATCAATCCTTCTCAAAATCTTCCAAAAAAAAAAAGAAGGAGAAACTCTTCCAAACATGTTTTATGAAGCCAGCATTGTGCTGATACCAAAACCAGACAAGGATGCCACACAAAAAAAGAAAAACTACAGGCTAATATTCCTGATGAACATAGATGTAAAAATCCTCAACAAAATATCGGCAAGCCAGATTCAGCAATACATTAAAAGTTTCATAACCATGATTAAGTGGGATTTATTCCAAGTATGAAAGGATGGTTCAGCTTCCACAAATCCATTAAAGTTATATGTCACAATAATAAAATTAAACATAAAATTATGCAATTATCACAATAGACATAGAAAAAGCATCTGACAAAATTCAACATCCATTTAGGATAAAAACCCTTAACAGAGTATAAATGGAACACACCTCAACATGAGAAAGACCATATATGACAAGCCCACAGCTAAGGTTATACTCAATGGCAAAAGCTGAAATCTAATCCTCTAAGGTCACGAACAAGAGAAGGATGCACACTGTTGCCACTTTTGTTCAACATGGTATTGGAAGTCCTAGCCAGAGCAATTGGGCAAGGAAAAGAAATTAGGAAAGGAAAAGAAATAAAAATCATCCAAATATGAAACAAAGAAGTAACTGTTTCTATTTGCAGATGACATGATATTACATATAGGAAAGCTAAAGATTCCAATAAAATTGAGGGATATAAAACCAATACACAAAAATCTGTTGCATTTCTTTACATTAATAATGAATTATATGAAAGAGAATTTAAGAAAGCAATCTCATTTACAATTTCATCGAAAGGAATCAAATATCTAGGAATAAAATTAACCAAAGAGGTGAAAACCCCATATATTGAAAACTATGATATTAACAAAGAAAATTTAAGAAGACACAAATAAATGGAAAGATATTTGTGTCCATGGATTAGATGAATTAATATTGTTAAAATACTCATCGTTAAAATATTCAAGGCAATCTATAGATGCAGTGCGATCCCTATTTCAATCTCAATGATATATCATTTTTACAGAAATAGGAAAAACAATCTAAAATTTGTATGGAAGCACAAAAGATCCTGAATAGCCAAAACAATCTTGAAAAAGAACAAAGCTAGAGGCATCNAGAAGACTCTTGAGAGTCCCTTGTCCTACAAGGAGATCCAACCAGTCCATCCTAAAGGGGATCAGTCCTGGGTGTTCATTGGAAGGACTGATGCTGAAGCTGAAACTCCAATACTCTGGCCACCTAATGCAAAGAGCTGACTCATTGGAAAGACCCTGATGCTGAGAATGATTGAGGGCAGGAAGAGAAGGGGACGACAGAGGATGACATGGTTGGATGGCATCACCGACTCGATGGACATGGGTTTGGGTGGGTTCTTGGAGTTGGTGATGGACAGGGAGGCCTGGCATGCTGCGGTTCATGGGGTCACAAAGAGTCAGACATGACTGAGTGACTGAACTGAACTGATAGTAATTCGATATTGACATAACAACAGACACAGCAATCAATGGAACATAATAGAGAACCATAGTATAAGCCCATGCAAGAATATGTAGGAGGAAAGGACAATCTCTTCAATAAATGCTGTTGGGAGAATTGAACAGCCACATGCAAAAGAGTGAAACTGGATCACTATCTTACATATATGCAAAAATTAACTCAAATTGGATTAAAGACTTGAAAGTAAGATCTGAAAGTATAGAACTCCTATAAGAATACATAGGTGGTGAGCTCCTTGACATAGATCTTGATAGTGATTTTTTGAATCTGACACTAAAGCAAAAGTAATAAAAGCAAAAATAAACAAGTAGAACTATATCAAACTAAAAACTTCTGCACAGCAGAGGAAACCATCAATGAGGAAAAAGCAACCAACTGAATGGGAGAAAATATTTGCAAATCATACATCTGATAAGGAAATAATATCCAAAATATATAAAGAGCTCATACAACTTGAACAGAACATCTGAATAGATATTTTTCTAAATAAGAAATACAGATGGCCAATAGGTACGTGAAAAGATGCTCAACATCATTACTCATCAGGGAAATGCAAATTAAAACCACAATGAAATATCATCTCATACCTGTTAGAATGGCTACTATCAAGAAATAACAAATGTAAATTGGTGTAACCACTATGAAAATCAGTATAGAGTTACCTGATAAGACTAAAAATAAAAACCTAACATATGATCCAGCAATTCTACTCATGGGTATTTATCTGAAGAAAATGAAAACACTAATTCAAAAGATCATACACACCCCTCCATGTTCACTGCAGCATTTTTTTTAACAATAGTCAATATATGGAAACAGCCTGTGTCCACTGATGGATGAATGGATAAAGAAATTGTGACATATAATAAAGGAATATTAAGTGGAATATTCAGCCATGAAAAAAGAATGATCTCTCCATTTGCAACAGCATGATGGACTTTTAGGGCATTATGCTAAGTGAAATAAGTCAGACACAGAAGGCAAATGCTGTATTATCTTTTTTATATGTGGAATCTAACAAACAAGCAAACTCCTCAAAACCAAGCTCATAGATTCAGAGATCAAATAGGTGGTTACAACAGGCAGGGGATGGGGATGGGAGAAATGGCAAAAAAAAAAAAAAAGTAACATGCCTCATTCCTTTAAGTTGGCTTAAAACTCAACATTCAGAAAACTAAGATCAAGGCATCTGGTTCCATCACTTCAGGGCAAATAGATGGGGAAACAATGGAAACAGTGGCAGACTTTATTTTCTTGGGCTCCAAAAATCACTACAGATGGTAACTGCAGCCATGAAATTAAAAGATGCTTGCTCCTTGGAAGATAAGTTATGACCAATCTAGACAGCATATTAAAAAGCAGAGATGTTACTTTGCCAACAAAGGTCCATCTAGTCAAGGCTATGGTTTTTCCAGTAGTCATGTATGGATGTGAGAGTTAGACCATAAAGAAAGCTGAGCACTGAAGAATTGATGCTTTTGAACTGTGGTGTTGGAGAAGACTCTTGAGAGTCCCTTGGACTGCAAGAAGATCCAACCAGTCCATCCTAAAGGAAATCAGTCCTGGGTGTTCATTGGAAGGACTGATGCTGAAGCTGAAACTCCAATACTCTGGCCACCTAATGCGAAGAGCTGACTCATTGGAAAAGACCCTAATGCTGGGGAAAGATTAAAGACAGGAGGAGAAGGGGACGAGAGAGGATGAGATAGTTGATGGCATCACTGACTGGATGGACATGAGTTTGAGCAAGCTCCAGGAGTTGGTGATGGACAGGGAGGCCTGATGTGCTGCAGTCCATGGGTTTGCAAAGAATCGGGCACAACTGAGTGACTCAACTGAACTGAACTGCCTCATTCCTCCCTTCTAATCATTTCTTTTTCTTCTTGCTGCATGCTTTTGTCACTTAAGTAACTACTATATGTCAGCTTTCCCAACATGAGGTAAGACAGGGTTTCTAGTTACATAGAACAGATCTGGTGGGGAAGGTAAATGTGCAAATAGAGATGAAAGCAGGAGGTGGCCAAGCTGTCCTGGAATTATAAACAGTGCTTTGGTTTACTCCTGATCTCACTGTGTTCACAGAGCAGCTCAAGGCTGTGTTCCTATAGTTGATCACTTTTGTTGAGTGCTTTTCTCTTAAAAAGACTATTGCTTTTCATTCCTTTGGGGACTGCATTTTATCAAAGAAGCCACATTTTTTTCCGCACAAAATATTACAACCCAGTGATCTGTGCTAATGTTTCATCTGTGCTAGAGTATGTATTACCATTGTTTCTGGTTCTGCTGGGCTCTTCAGGGGCATGTCTTTCACTGGTGTTTCTGTTTTTCAGCGCTCAATGGATACCTCTTTGGAAACTTCCCTGAACCTGATATGTGCGTTGGTGAATCAGTGTCCTGGCACCTATTTGGGATGGGGAATGAGATAGACATCCATTCCATCTATTTTTATGGCAACACCTTCATCAGTAGAGGGCATCGGACTGATGTTGTCAATCTGTTCCCAGCCACCTTCCTGACATTAGAAATGATAGTTGAGAATCCTGGAAAGTGGATGATAACCTGCCAAGTCAGTGATCACCTCCAAGGTAAAAAGGATGGAGGCCAGTGTGGAAATACTTACAATGGTACAATTAAACCACACAGTCAACAGTGTTCATTCAGTGCATGCTATTGGATGGATTCTTGTCTGTGTTATATTTATTACACTTAAATATTAAACATAGGGAAATGTATAATGCCTATTTGGCATCTTATTGACAGATATTTATTAATTAATTACCTCCTTATGAACCAGGTAAGAGGTGATTGGAAAAATTGATAAGACATTCCTGGAACCTGGAATCTAGTAGTTAAATATAGTCATACATTTACAAAATGAATAAAATTTAAGACAGAATGATAAATGCTCTTCGAGATTTGTCACTTCACTGGAACAGTAAGAGAGGCTACTTAATGAAGGGGTTCCTAATCTGAGCCTAGAAATATGGGTAGGAATTTGATAGATGAGGAAGAAGAAAAAGGCTTTCCAAGTAGGGGAAGCAACACAAACTGGGAAAAACACATGGGCAACTTTAAATAGAATAAAATTTACAATCAGAAATTGGAATTTATAGATAATCTGGACCAACCAGAAAGGGATTTCTGGATAATCTGAGCCACCTCCCTATCCAATTCTTGAGTTCCCTTTTGGACATCTCTTTAAAAATTTTATGTTGGAGTCTAGTTGATTTATGTATGATGTGTTAGTTTCAGGTGTACAGAAAGTGAGTTATACGTATTCAAACATCCATTCTTTTTCAGATTCTTTTCCCGTGTAAGTTTCCCATATTACAGAGTACTGAGTATAGTTACCTGTGCTCTATAGTAGGTCCTTGTTGATGATCTATTTTATACAGAGTGGTGTGTATAACCCCAGCCTAGTAATTGTAGCAGCCCGTTTCATCTCTGCGCTGCTCTTTGAGAATTCTTTATATTGAGACAATCCAATGACAGGTGCAAAATCCTCTGAAAGGTGAAAGATAAGCATTTGTTGACTTAAATACCTGTTGAATGATTCGGTCCAGGTTCCTTGGGACCACATGGAATAAGTCTACCTAGCTGGACCTTAGGCTCATGTCAGAGGAGTGATGAAGCAGAAGTTTTAGAGAGGCAGTTTGGGGCTCAGGGCAGCAGTTTTGAATGGCAAGGCTAAGGAACGTCTGGAAGGTAATGCTGAGTCCCTTCAGTTGTGGCGACTCTTGGCGACCCTATGGACTACAGTCCATCAGGTTCCTCTGTCCGTGGGATTCTTCAGGCAAGAACACTGGAGTGGGTTGCCATGCCCTCCTGCAGGGGATCTTCCCAACCCAGGGACTGAACTCATGTATATTACCTCTCCTGCATTAGCAGGCGGGTTCTTGACCATTAGCACTACTTGGGAAGCCCCTGGAAGGTAATAGTGAGAACTTTTAGTTCATTAGACACAGTGATTTAGGAAGATTTAGGAAGCTAAATATGTCTTTATGCAGAGAAGACTCAATGGAGAGATTCTGGCTACTGGATGCCAGTTAAGAAACATTGGCAACATTAGAGTTATGACATATTAAAGGTTTGGCCTAAGAAGAGAAAAAGAAAATGTTATCAATTGGATAAGCAGGGAGTAAATAATGTATGATTCAATTTGGATCCTAGCTACACACAGCCACCACAAGGACAGCTATGCAGCACTTCAGGGCTGCTTTCATAACATGTTTTTATTCCCCTCAACCTTAAAGCAAACCTCACATTTGTCCACTGGGTTATTTCAGGTAAATTCAATTTGGCAAATGTTGGGTTGCTCAGTTAATATGTATCAGACACTCTCCTGAGAAGACAAAGATGAACATGACAGTTACTATTCTCCACCCCCACTCCAGACTATATTGAGGTATAATTGACAAACAGGAATTGTATATAAATTCCTTGATGTCTTGATATGAGGTGTAAACTCTTTAAACTACACACAAGCTAATTAATATATCAATTACCTCACATAGGTAAACTTTGTGATGTTGGTAATGGTGAGAACACTTGAGATCTCAAAGAATACAAAGTTTCAGTTATGTAAGACAAATGGGGCCTCCAGATCTAAGGGTGACTACTATCAACAATATTGTGTTGTATACTTGAAATTCCCTAAAAGGGTAGATTGTAGGTATTCTCCACAGAAGATCCTTAAATTTGAGAAGAAATTAGTCTTAAAATCAAGGCATTAGCAGCCATTTGAAATTAGTTAGATTCTTAAATTTGGCCAGTAATTGTAGACATAAGCTGGAATACATCATTGAAATACAACATTTACTAAATTTTCCAAACCCTCAGAAAAAATGTTTAAAATTGGAAGATATGTATAATTCAATTTAAAAATTAGCCATCAACTCTAGAGATAATGGTGTCACATTTTGATGAATATCTTCCCTATTTTCTAGACCTTTGTATATAAAGGCATAGTCTTTCCAAACTTTACCAGTTTGATAACTGAACAACAGTATCACTTGATTACTGTTAGGGCTGAACTTTTTTTTGTTTGTTCTTGGGCCAATAGTACTTCTTTTATGAATAACCTATAAATGTTTTGCTCATTTTCTATTGAAATATTTACTTTTTTCTTTCTTATTTATCAAATATATTTACATGTTAATCTTTTATCATATGTGTTAAAACACTCCTCTACCCACTGTTTATTTTTACTTTTAACTTTGTTTATGGTCCTACATTCTGTATAAAAGTTTTAAATGTTCATGAAGTCATATAAGTCAGTCTATTCTTCCTCTAGGATTGCTTTTGGAGCATTTATACATTGGCTCTTGGTTTTCCTCTGTTTTATAGCTGGCATGCTGGGGCAATACAATGTTGGTAACTGCAAAAGTGGTATTTCTCAGCCCAAGATGAAGGGTCAACAGAGGCGCTACTTTATAGCAGCTGAAAAAATTCTTTGGGATTATGGTCCTCAAGGCTATGACAAATTCAGCGGTCTTCCCCTAAATGCCTCTGGCAGGTAAGCTCTCTCTGCCGATGTTTCTAAACCTCTCATAAGAGAGGCATCTGTTAGGCTGTTTGCTGTGATCTCATTTGTGTTCCAGGCACCGTCCTTATGAGTACATACTGCAGGCATAATAGCATCATTTAAGGAGCTCTGAGTCCCATAATGTATACAGTGCTGAGAATTGTATATACTGCAGATAACTGCGGAGTATCTCAAAGCTATGGTTTTTTCCAGTAGTCATGTATGGATGTGAGAGTTGGACTATAAAGAAAGCTGACCACTGAAGAACTGATGCTTTTGAACTGTGGTAGTGGAGAAGACTCTCGAGAGTCCTTTGTACAGCAAGGAGATCCAACCAGTCTATCCTAAAGAAAATCAGTCCTGAATATTAATTGGAAGGACTGATGCTGAAGCTGAAACTCCAATACTTTGGCCACCTGATGTGAAAAAGTGACTCACTAGAAAAGACCCTGATGCTGGGAAAGATTGAAGGCGGGAGGAGAAGGGGACAACAGAGGACAAGATGGTTGGATGGTATCACTGACTTGATAGACATGAGTTTGAGTAAGCTCTGGGAGTTGGTGATGGACAGGGAAGCCTGATGTGCTGCCGTCCATGGGGTCACAAAGAGTTGGACACGACTGAGTGACTGAACTGAACTGAACTGTTGCTTTATGATTTGCTGGCCAAATCAAAGCACTAGATTCATTCATTCATCCATCAAACACTTCAGGAGCATCTACTATGGGCAAGCTGCAGTATTAAGTGCCATGAGAATTACTAAGCTGACAGAGAAGAGACTAAGGTCTTACACGTATTAAGCAGACAATTTTGAAGAGGGAATAAGTCAGGACTCTTTCAGTGGAGGTGAAATAGCCAAGGAAGGTTACCCTTTGGGGTTCAAGGACAGCCTGATATAAGTGAAGCCCCTTCTGCCCAGACTTCATTTTCCTCCCTGTCCAGTACAATGCCACTTTCCCCCTTCAAAATCTAACTCTACTGTAACTTCCTAAGTAAAGTCTCCCTGACACCTGAATAATTTTCTCTGGGCTTCCATAGCATGTAATATTTTTCAAATTGAATCTAACAATTTATTAAGTAGATGAAGACCCCTGTGACTTTTATTGTAGGATCATACACAAATATGTCTAGGAAAGTATTACAAAATATACAGTATGATATCAACAAGTATTGCTCTTATCCTTTAATCCTTTTCATGTTTGAGGGAATGTTTAAAAAATTGTCTTTATGATCAATAAAATTTCTTTTGTTTCTTTCATTATAAATTTCATTCATTCTTCCACCAAAGTGATAACCTTTAACTTTGCCTAAAGAATTTGTGCGGACCACCTATGAAAAACTCTTTGATATCAACATTCCCTATTGACTAGTATTTTCCCATAAAGAGAATAGTGAAAATTAACATTGAGAATTATGTCTTAGAAGCCTTCCAAAATTAGAAAGCACCTTAAAAATATGAAATATTAAACTATATTCAATGGATATTTAATGTAATATGTGAAAACACAATGTACTAAGTGACATGAGAGATGCAGGAAGGGCTAAGATAATGTTCTCGATCTCAGGTACAGAAAGAAGCTGAATATACAGGAGAAGAGAAGTGACTTTGCAAGTTACAAATAAGTTTAAGATGAGCTGTCCAGACAGTGAGTTCTCTGGGCATTTAGAGAGAGCTAAGATAGTTGGTCAAGGCTATGGTTTTTCCAGTGGTCATGTATGGATGTGAGAGTTGGACTGTGAAGAAAGCTGAGTGCTGAAAAATTGATGCTTTTCAACTGTGGTGTTGGAAAAGACTCTTGAGAGTCCCTTGGACTGCAAGGAGATCCAACCAGTCCATCCTAAAGGAGATCAGTCCCGGGTGTTCATTGGAAGGACTGATGCTGAAGCTGAAACTCCAATACTCTGGCCACCTGATGTGAAAAGTTGACTCACTGGAAAAGCCCCCGATGCTGGGAGGGATTGGGGGCAGGAGGAGAAGGGGATGACAGAGGATGAGATGGCTGGATGGCATCACTGACTCGATGGACATGAGTTTGAGTAAACTCTGGGAGTTGGTGATGGACAGGGAGGCCTGGCGTGCTGCGATTCATGGGGTCGCAAAGAGTCAGACATGACTGAGCGACTGAACTGAACTGAACTGAAGATAGCCAGAAATATGTCACAAAGGAAATTAAACTTAAGTAGGGTCTTTTGAATGACAGAATTTATATAAGTGAATTGCAAAGAGAGGGAAATTCTAGATTCAGGGGTTAATGCAAAGCATCTGTAATAAAGCAGAGTGATTAGATCACAGAGTGAATGACATGTGAGGGATTTGGATGGGGCATGAGCACTTACACAGAGCAGTGGAAAGATTGGAGCAAACTGGATATCCTTTGCAGAGGTCCTCCAATCTGTTTGAACTTTACTTGATTGGCAATTGGAAGCAACTGAAGATTTTGGAGCAGATAAAATGACAATGAAAAGGACTATTTTAAAGGCTTTGGAGTATCAGTGCATATGCTGAGAAAAGAACTCAAGGGAGCCAATGTGAGATAGAGGGTGCTGCGTGGACAGATGGGAGGCTCACACTGAGGTCTAAACACAAGGCGAGGAGTGCATGCATGCAGTGTGGGCTGCGGGAAGAAAGGAAAGGAAAAGATGAAATAAAGGTGTAGAAAAGGACGGGTGCAAAATAAAAGGTTACAAAGTCAGGATGAACAAGATAAGAGGAAAAGGCAGAAAAAGAAGACACAGCCAGCATGTCTGCAAGTGTGATGGTACCACTGACAGAAGCAGAGGAGGGATAGTACTAGTTGGAAGTTATATTATTTTACTTCACAAGTTTGAAATTTGGTATTTCATATGTATAGTTTATATGGTAACTCCACTGATTAAACTACTTGACTAACTAGATACTCCATTCCTTAATCATGCCAGATATCAAAGCTTACTATTTGCAGAGACTATTCATATTGACATCAGCAAGAGATAGAGGGATGCTCATTTTGCAAAGAAAACAGTTAGCTCTTTGTTACTTTGTAGGACACCATCTGGGACTCCAGTATTGGTAAGTAAGGAGTTTGCCTCCTTTGGTTGCTGGACCTCCGGGGAAGAAAGTACAATGGCTAAGAGAGAAATGAGCTTGAGCACCAAACAGCTTCTGAAGACTTTTAAGGCTGGTTGACTATTCCTGGGAACTTGGCTGAAGACTGTTCTGTCTTTTCTGGGGAGATGGGTGGATGAATGGTCTAGAGACAATACAATAAAGCTCCCTAATTAAGGCACTTAATTATGTATGAAGTGTATTCTCAGTCAACTCCCTTCTCTTTCCACAGTGACTCTGAGCTCTACTTCAAACAAGGGGACAACAGAATAGGAGGGAAATACTGGAAGGCTCGGTACACAGAGTATGTTGATGCAACTTTTACTCGAAGAAAGAGATTCTCTGAGGCAGAAGCCCACCTTGGAATTCTGGGTACAGTGAAATCATCTGTCATGTTTGGAACGAGGGAGATGTTTCAGTGGGGCATGTAACCTAACAGGGAACGACTCTTCGGCTCCCATTCACTTCTCTGTCTCTCTTCATCTCTTCTCCCTCCTTCTCAACATTTCTCAGGTCCCGTCATCAAGGCAGAGGTGGGTGACACTCTATTAGTGACATTCGCCAACAAAGCTGACAAGGTCTACAGTATTTTGCCCCATGGTGTGATCTATGACAAAGCTTCTGATGCAGCCCCAAACGTAGACGGTGAGTCCTGGCCTCGGGAGGATCCTGGGCCCTTTACTTGTCAGTCCTGTGAGCTTGAGCAGCTATTTCAACTTTTTGAACCTTACTCTTCTCCTCTATCAAGTGCAGAGAATGATGCTCACCTCACAGGGCTTTGGGAAGGGATAGATGGGCTTCCTTGGTGGCTTAGACAGTAAAGAATCTGCCTGCAATGCAGGAGACCTGGGTTCAATCCTGGGTCAGGAAGATCCCCTGGGGAAGAGAATAGCTATCCACTCCAGTATTCTTTCATGGAAAATTCCATAGATAGAGGAGCCTGGGGCGCTACATACAGTCCATGGGGTTACAAAGAGTCAGACACAACTGAGCAACTATCCCTTCACTTGAGACAGAATTCAGGACAGGGTCTGGCCCTCAGCAGATACTTGGGAAACCTTAATGCTATTCCTTTGCTCTCAGTAACACAATAAATCTCAAAGTGGGCTCATCCACAGCCTCACCCACTTCTCTAAGATGGAGAGTTTTCTGCTGCAGTTGCGTGGGATTCTCTGGGTAAGGCTAAGGGGAAAATCTGATTTCTAATGTTTTGTTGAAATGAAGATCTTACACATGGGCTTTGCTTTGTCTCTATGGGCAAATATTTATTTAAAGTTTTGTGGGTTTACAGTCACATATGTATCCCCCAATCACAGAGTATGTAGCACAGGCTGTCTGCATGTATGAAAAACAGCTTCTACCCAGTGGCCACAGGAACTATCCTTCTGTTCATGATACTCTTCTTGGGAAATCCTGGCTGTGTGGGAAGTCTTTCTCATCGCTAGAGCAGACACCATGACTCCTGAGATACTTCTTTATTCCCAAGTGTGAGGCTGGTCCCAGTCCAGAGCAGGCTTTGCAATGCTGGGGAGGGAAGAGAGAAGAAAAGGATGGAGGCAGTATTCCCCACTCCCTAGTCTCCCCCACCCCGCACCCCTGCCGGCTGCAGCAAGTCTCCTCTGCCCATATTCTCTTCCTTGGTCAAAATGCTCACGATGACTTTTGCAGAAAGAACCCTAATGATAGCCGAAATGTCTACATTTCTATTGTTTATCTCAGAAAACTTACTGCGTACCTATTTGCAAGCCCTGGACGAAATACAGCAAGTCTCTGGCCTCAGTCTAGTTGAAGAGATTCAATGTGTTCATTTGACAATACAATGTGAGGGTCAAGTGCAAAGTCTTTGGAATCAGCCCTGGATTTAATCCCAAATCTGCCATTTACCAGCTTTATTACCTTGTGCCTTTGCTTACCTCCGCTAACTTGTAGTTATTTGGGTTATTTCCTAGTTCAACCTTCTAGATTTAAAACTCTTTAAAGGTAGGTCTCTTGTTTAACTTTTTGGGGTATCCTCTAAAGGGCCAAATATAATAAATTCCACATCATAGAAGGTTTTAAATGCTATTTTATGGATTTACATTTATATATAAATGGGCAATTATCACTCTTTAAGATAATTTAAAGACAATTATCACTCTTTTAATATTTGCTAAACTTGAGATTTGAGTAAAAAGTAGTACCTATGAAGATATTAAGTATAAACTGTGAAGAAGATAGTCCTTTGATATAAGCATCTATCTCATAAAACAGCAGATAGTGGCACTGACCTCTCTGATAGGATTCACTGGAAACAACTGTCCTTCCACAAAGCACATCCTCAGACAGAGACGCACTCTGAGCTGGAAGACCCAGTCTGACAAGTTACTCATTCCTGGCTGTTGCTTTGAGTAGCTGTTTTACTTGTCTCCACAGGATTTCTGAAGCCAGGGGCACATGTTAAGCCAGGTGAGATCTTCACATACACATGGACGGTGCCTGAAAGTGTCAGCCCAACAGCTGATGACCCACCCTGTCTGACTTATCTTTACTTCTCAGCGGTTGAACCGATCAAGGACACGAGCTCAGGACTTGTAGGGCCTTTGCTAGTCTGTAAAAGGGGCGTTCTCAATGCTGATGCGACACAGGTAGGTCTCAAAGGTCACCAGGCGCTCAGGGTTGTATGTGAGAGAGATCAGGAATGTGGCTAGAGAGTAAATAGTAATCGTCCATTACAAAAAGGTGAATTTTTTCCTCATTGCTCTTGAAATCAACTTCTACATAAAGAGGATTTTATTTTATTTTTCATAAATTTAAGATGCAAATTTTAACTTAAGGTAATTTTAGTGTAAATTTAAGATCTGAAAGTTACTGATGCCTATGCAGAAAGCCAGGATCTCTGCTTGTTTGGCTGGAATTTGGTGACTCTCTTTCCCTGGGCATTGCTTTGATTCTAGAATCTCCGGAGACCTATACAGAATGTAAATTGGGATTTTTGGGGGGACAGGGGGCAAATTTTCCCAAGATGGTAAAGAACCTGCCTGCTAATGCAGGTAGACATAAGAGTTGCAGGTTAGATCCCTGAGTCAGGAAGATCCCCCGGGAAGGGCGTGGTAACCCACTCCACTATTCTTGCCTGCAAAATCCCATAGACAGAGAAGCCTGGCAGGCTGCAGTCCATATAGTTGCACAGAGTCAGACAAGACTGACGCAACTTAGCACGCATGCAATTTTCTCAAACTTGTCTACACATTAGACTTACCTGCCCCCCACTTAAAAAAAAAACAAAAAACCTGGGGCCCTTTTAAACATCCTTTATTCAGGTGTTTCAGACCAATTAAGTCAGAATCTCTAGGTGATTCCAATGTGCAACCAAGTTTGAGAATCACTGTAGCTCACCACTATAATCCAGGAGTTAATCACTGTGACCAAAGAAACAAGAAAACAAGTAGATATTTTCTTGCAAGTCCCAACTTGGAGGCTTTGATTGAGCCACGCTGGTTAGTGTGGCAAAGCATAACATTTCAAGCTATATTTACATGATATTAAACACACTGATGGAAGAGGGAAAGTCAGCTACTTAATCATTTTGAATTATTTTACCAGTCAGAAATAGCAAGCTATTTGTTTAAATGGTATATTTTATATTTGGCATTAATCCTAGTTCTGTAGAAAAGAAGAACTATTAGATGTATATATAGATAGAAAGAAAATTATGATAAGGAGCAGGCTCACATGACTATGGAGGATGACAAGTTTCAAGATATGCAGGGTGAGTCATAGAAAGAGACTCAGGAGACCCAAAAGACCAGCAGGGTCTTGAAAGGAAGAGCCTGTGTTTGAGCTTGAGTTCAAACGCAAGCAAAAGCTGATGTTCCAGTTCAAAGGCAAGAAGAATCCCCTTTTACTTATAAGAGAGTCAGATTTTGTGTTGTTCTGTTAAGGCCTTCAAATGATTGGATGAGGCTCACCCACACTAGGGAGGGCGATCTGCTTCACTTAGTTGCTGAATCAGATGTTAATCTCATCCAAGCACACCCTCATGTAAATAGCTAGAAAAAAGTCTGACCAAATATCTGGGCACCCCAACAAGTTGACACAAAATTAATCACTACACAGGGTCCTATACCTACCTTCTAACCTCCCCCTGGGCTAATTTCCCCTTTCATAGACCCGGTTACCTTACAGATGACTCTCAGATGATGAGGCTCTCCAACCGAATTCCTCTCAGTGTTTCCTTCTCATCCTGCGTACAAACACAACTGCAGTTAATAACAGTTAACACCAGGTACTTAGTATTTGCTAGAGGATGCATCAGATGCTTTGCCTATAGTATCAAATTTAACCCTTCAAAAAATATGAAATAGGGACAACTCATATCCTCATTTGCAAATGAGGGAATTAGGACTTAGAGAAGACAAGTCATTTGTCTCAGTTGTCATAACATGTAAGCAAAATAGCACTAGAACCCGATATCTTTCCCAACATATTTGATCCCTTATTCCCCCTCCAGTTTTAATTTTATTTTGAAAAATATTAAGCCTATATTACTTCTTTCCATAGCCCCACATCTAAAACTATTGCCTTCTAAAACGCCATGTGATAAAAGCAGTAAATGTACATAAGTTATAGTAAGAACATAAAGCAAAAGATAACCTTACCTTCAATGAGGAGTGAAGAAAGCATCACAGAGCTGGGACAGCTAAGCTGCCCCTTGCAGTTGGATTAGGGTGGCAGACCATCAAAGTTGAGGGAGAACACGCATAAAGGACAGAGGCCTGCTGAACACAGCAAGTTCAGATTGCTGCAAGGATCCTGGGCTTGCTTTGGTTCAGGTGTCAGGAGGGAAGGGCCAAGAGATGAGGCTGAGAAAGTAGGCAGGGACCTATCACTGTGAATTACATTGTATTTTCCAGATTGAGAAGGAGAGAGACGTGATCAGATGGCACTGGTGTGGGTCCCTCTGGAGTAGATGACAGGATGAAGGGTAGATTGGGAGGGAGTCCATTAGAGGTGGGAAGATGGTTGAGAGACAGAAAACACAGTTACCTCTCTGGTTCAGCTTTAAAGAAAAGTAGATTTTGACAATTCAGTATGCTGTGTGGTCAGTGATATTCAAATAGATGGTTTAGGAATATCCACAATGGGAATTAGTCCCTCATTATCAACTCAAATTAATATAATTTAGCAAAGCCATGAATGACATGAATTCATTATTTCACTCAAAAACATGTATTAAGTTTTTTTAATGCCCAGTTTTTCAGGCATTTTTGTTGGAGCTGGGAATACATAGAGATACCCAAAACTTCCCTACCCTATCAAAGCCTACATTACCATGGGACAACAGTCAAAAATTTAAGTGCATACATAAAATGTTTTAGGTGGAGATAAGTGCTACGAAGGAGGGTAGAGTGTGGAAAAGTGAGTGAGTTTGTGGGCAGGAGGGAAGATGAGGGACTTTTAGCTAGGGTCGGGTGAGAGTGCTCTGGGGAGGTGATATTGGTGCAGGGAATGGGACAGAATAAGGGATGGAGCCGGGCAAGACCTAGGAGAACCTTCCAGACAACGGGAACAGCATGTGAAAAGGTCTTGAGGCAGGAATGAAGTAGGTTTGTTCACAGAGGAGCAAAAGATCAGGGTGGCTGGAGTGAGCTAGGGGGTGAATACAAGGAGATGAGGTCAGAGAGGCAGAGGCCAGGACACAGAGTTTAGAGTGACGAAAATAACGTGGTGATGACCAGCCTGAGAACAGGAGTACCGCAGATTAGGAAAGCTTCTGAACAGGGACTTACTTCCTCTGAGGAGCTCACATGGGGAGCGAAAAGGATAAAATGAGGAAGATGAATTTATTGGGTGTAGAATGAATTTATCAGAATCTTGATTTACAAAATGATCCAGTAAATCTATGGCTGAGGTTGATCCTAATTTATTTTGTGTTACTTCTTGTTAACTTTGAAAGTGAAGTAGAGCTAAGAAGTCCTCCAAGCTATACTTTAATACATTCATTTCTTTCTTCTCTGTAGAAAGGAATAGACAAGGAATTTTACCTACTAATCACAGTCTTTGATGAGAATCTGAGCAGGTATCTTGATGAAAATATTCAGAAGTTTACCTGGCATCCTTTCAGCGTTGACAAGGAGGATAAAGAGTTTGTGAAGTCCAACCGAATGCACGGTATGAAAAATCTTTTCCTCTTGTAAAGTCAAGTCATAATCACATTTGAAGTGAAAATTTTTGGAATGCTTTAGTTATCTTAAGCTTTGTTTCTTGGGTATTGTCCTTGGTCATGACTAAAATATTTTGTGGCTCTAGCCTCACAAGGTGTGGTGAAACTTCCCCATCTCAAGAGATGTGAAACTTAATTAATACTTCTAAAGCACTTCATCAGCTTTAGATAAAATAATACAAAATTTGAACTAGCAAAGGTCACATTACATAATAAATGTAGAAAATTAGTTATGTATATATCTATCTGTGTGTATATATACAGATATATATATATATATATATATAATTTCATCCAAGAGTAACAGAATACACATTCTTTTCAAGTGCAAACAGAACATTCTCCAGGATAGATTATACGCTAAGCCACTAAACAAGCCTCTGTAAATTTAAGAAAATTGAAGACACATCAAGAACCTTTTCTGAAAACAATGCTATATAAGACTGGAAATTAACTCTGAGTTAAAAAACTCCAAAAAAACACAATATGTAAAGGCTGAACAATATACTACTAAACAACCAATGCATCACTGAAGAAATCAAAGAGGAAATTAAAAAATACCTAGGGATAAATGAAAATAAAAACATGACAATCCAAAACTTATGAGATAGCAAAAATGGTTCTAAAACAGAATTTAAAAGCTTACTTCAGAAAAAGAAAAATTTCAAGTAAAAACCTAACTTTATACCTAAAACAGCTAGAGAAAGAGCAAATAAAACCTAATGTTAGTGAAAGATAAGAAGTCATAATGATAAGAGCAGAAATAAGTGAAACAGAGACAAAAATAGAAAGGATCAATGAAATTAAAAGCTTGTTCTTTGAAAAGTTAAATAAAATTGATAAACCTTTAACTAGACTCATCAAGAAAAAAATAGAGAGGACCCAGATCAATAAAATCAGAAATGAAAAAGGAGAGGTTACAACAGATACCACAGAAATATAAAGGAACATAAAAGACTACTACAAGCATCTATTTGCCAACAAAATGGATAACCTGGAAGAAATGGACAAATCCTTAAAAATGCACAATCTACTAAGACTGAATCAGGAAGAAATAGAAAGTATGAATATACCACTTACCAGTAATGAAATTGAGTCAGTAATTAAAAAACTCCCAACAAACAAAAATCCAGGACCAGATGGCTTCACCATATGGTAGAATTGGAATTCTACCAAATATTTAGAGAAGAGTTAACACCTACATTTTAAAACTATTCCAAATAATTGCAGAGAAAAGAATGCTTCCAAACTCATTCTATGAGTCCACCATCACCCTGATACTAAAACCAGACAAAAGTATCACACACAAAAAAGGAAAATTACAGGCCAATATCACCAGTGAACACAGATGCAAAAATCCTCAACAAAATATTAGCCAACTGAATCTAATAATATATTAAAAGGATAATGCACTATGATTAAGTGGAATATATCTCAGGGATGCAAGGATTTTTTTTAATACCCACAAACAATCAATGTGATATACCACATTAACAAACTGAAGAGTAAAAACAGTATGGTCCTCTCAATAGATGCAGAAAAAGCTTTTGACAAAATTCACCACCCAGTTTTGATAAATCTCCAGAAAGTGGGCATAGAGGGAACTTACCTTAATATAATAAAAGCCATATGTGACAAATCCACAGCTAACATTATACTAAATGGTGAAAAGCTGAAAGCATTTCCTCTAACATTAGGAACAAGACAAGGATACCCACTCTTGCCACTTTTATTCAACATAATAACGGGAGTCTAAGTCACAGTAATCCAAAGAAAAGGAAATAAGTCATCCAAATTGGAAAGGAAGAAGTAAAACTATTACCGTTTTCAGATGGCATACAATAAATACATAGAAAATCCTAATGAAGTCACCAGAAAACTACTAGAGCTCATCAATGAATTTAGTAAAGTTGCAGAATACAAATTAATATACAGAAATCTGTTGCATTTATAGACACTAAGAATGAAAAAAAAAAGAAATTAAGAAAACAATCTCACTTACCATCTCACCAAAAAGAATAAAATACCTAGGAATAAACCTATCTGAAGAGGCAAAGGACTTGTACTCAGAAAACTATGTGACATTGATGAAAGAAACTGAAGATGGAAAAGACAAAAACAGATGGCAAAAATATACTGTGATCTTGGATAGTTAAGAATCAATATTTTTAAATGACCATTCTGCTCAAGGCAATCTATGGATTCAATGCAATCTCAATCAAAATATCAAGGGAATTTTTCACAGAACTAAAACAAATGATTTTAAAATTTGTGTAGAAACACAAAAGACCCCCAAAAGCCAAACGAATCTTGAGAAAGAAGAGACTCAATGCTGCTTGACTTCAGACAATCAAGGGGCTTCCCAGGTGGCACTAGTGGTAAAGAATCCACCTACTAATGCAGGAGACATAAGGGACGCAGCATTCCACCCCTGGGTTGGGAAGATCCCCGGAGGAGGGTAAAGTAACTCACTCGAGCATTCTTGCCTGGAGAATCCTGTGGATAGAGGAGCCTAGAGGGCTACAGTCCACAGGGTCACAAAGAGTTGGACACGACTGAAGTGAGTTAGCGTAGTAACCAAAATAGTTTGGCACTGGCACAAAACCAGACACAGATCAAAGGAACAGAATAGAGAGGCTAAAAATAAACCCATGTGATTCTGGTCAATTACTCTATGACAAAGGAGGCAAGAATATAGAATGGAGAAAAGACAGTCTCTATAATAAGTGTTTCAGGGAAAACTGGACAACTACATGTAAAAGAATGAAATTAGAAGATTCTCTAACACCAGTATACAAAAATAAAATGAACTAAAGATCTAAATGTAAGACTGGATACTATGAAACTCCCAGAGAAAAATAGAGGCAGAACACTCTTTGACATAAATCCCAGCAACAGTTTTTTGGATCTGTCTCCTAAAGTAAAGAAAATAAAAGTAAAAATAAGCAAATGAGATATAATTAAATTAAAAAGCTTGTGCACAGCAAAGGAAACCATCAACAAAATGAAAAGACAACCTACTGAATGGGAGAAAATGTTTGTAAATGATATGCCTGACAAGAGATTAATAGTCAACAAATATAAACAACTTGTATAACTCAAAATCAAAGAAACAAACAAGGTGATTAAAAATGGGGCAGAAGAACTGAATAGACATTTTTCCAAAGAGGACATGCAGATGGCCAACCAACAGGCACCTGAAAAGATGCTCAACAACACTGCTACATCAGAGAGATGCAGATCGAAACCACAATAAGATATCAGCTCATATCAGTCAGAATAGCTATCATCAAAAAGGACACAAACAGCAAATGCTAGAGAGGATGTGGAGAAAAGGGAACCCTTATACACAATTGGTGGAAATGTAAACTGATGCAGCCATTGTGGAAAACAGTATGGCAGTGTCTCAAAAAATAAAAACAGAACTACCATATAACCCAACAATTTCAGTTCTGGAAACAAAAAACCCCAAAACCACTAATTCAAAATAATGCATGCAGCCCAATGTTCATGTATATATATATATACACACACACACACACATATATAAGGAATAAAACTCAGGCATAAAAAAAGGAATGAAATTCTGCCATTTGCAACAACATGGATGGAACTAGAGAATATTATGCTTAGTGAAACAAGTCATACAAAGACAAATATGTATGCTTTCACTTATATGTGAAATCTAAAAAGTAGAACAAATGAATATATACAACAACAATGAAAAAACAGATTCACAGGTATAGAGAACAAACTAATGGTTATCAGTGGGGAGAGGGAAGGGTGAAGGGGTAAGATAGGGCTATGGGATTAAGAAAAAGATACTACTATGAATAAAATAAATAAGCTACAAGGGTATATTATACAACATACAGAAATGTTGCCATTATTTTATATTAACTTTAAATGGAGTATAATCTATAAATATATTGAATCACCATGTTGTACACTTAAAACTAATATAATATTATAAATCAACTATGTTTCAATAAAAGTTTCTTTCAATGGCTAAAGCAAACATGGCAACATAACAGACCTTGTTTTAGGATCAAGCATAGCATCTATTTATTGCCTTTAAAACATTATGAGAAAATAATGAAATAGCCTTCCCCTTCTCTCCCAAAGAAGTGCAAAAAAAAAGTCTCTCTTTCTCCCATGGAAGTAAAAAATGTTCAAGGTTCCAAGTGACTCACAGCACCAGCTCAGACTTCCGTGGCTTCAGATGCTCTGTTCCAACGGAACCCCTTCTTGGACCAATGGAAAACAAGGAATAATGCACTTTCAACATCATCTTCTTCAAAAAAATTTGTTACAACTGAAGACAAAATTTGTTCCCAACCTTTCTAATAGTCAATAAAAAGGTAAACTAAGCTATAAATTAGGAAACATAGCAATTCCTTAATGGAAAAGCTAGGCTGCAAGAGGGATTTTTATACAGAGAAGCCTATATATAGAAAACAGAAAACAACCTAATGGATCATGTCAAATCCAGTGCCTTCTTGGTTTGGCAATTTGAAATACATTTGTATATTTTAGACCTGCAGAATATGTCATGTTTAAGGCAAAATTCAAGAAAATTATGTATTTAGTTTAAGCTTCACATTCAGTTCAGTTCATTTCAGTCTCTCAGTCATATCCGACTCTTTGCGACCCCATGAATCACAGCACTCCAGGCCTCCCTGTCCATCACCAACTCCTAGAGTTTACTCAAACTCATGCCCATCGAGTCAGTGATGCCATCCAGCCATCTCATCCTCTGTCGTCTCCTTCTCCTGCCCCCAATCCCTCCCAGCATCAGGGGCTTTTCCAATGAGTCAACTCTTCGCATGAGGTGGCCAAAGTACGGGAGTTTCAGCTTCAGCATCAGTCCTTCCAATGAACACCCAGGACTGATCTTCTTTAGGATGGACTGGTTGGATGTCCTTGTAGGACAAGGGACTCTCAAGAGTCTTCTCCAACACCACAGTTCAAAAGCATTAATTCTTTGGCGCTCAGCTTTCTTCACAGTCCAACTCTCACATCCATACATGACCACTGGAAAAAATAAAGCCTCACATTAATTATAAATTTAATTTTGTCTCCAGTCTTGCTTGCATGAGTAGGAGAAAGTTGGCCACAATACTAAAGGGAAAATGCCTTACATGGCATACAATGTTTGCATTGCTCGTGTTATACAGTCTATGCTCCAATCTGCTTGTTGAATATATAAATGAATGAATGAATGTTCCAGAAAAAGGGGCTTTTCCAGAGGGGGTGGGGGCATGCCACACAGCTTTGTGGTATCTTAATTTCCTGACCTGGGCTTCCAGCAGTGAGTATGTGGAATCCTAACTACTGGGTCACCAGGGAATTCTCAGGAAAGGGAAGTTCCAAGGCAACAGAGAATTCTCTACCAGCCAGCCAAGGACTAAATTGTTAGCACTACAATTTACAATGGGATTGGGAGGGAGGTGGGAGGGGGATTCGGAATGTACACCCTTGTACACCCATGGCTGATTCATGTCAATGTATGGCAAAACCCACTGCAACATTGTAAAGTAATTAGTAATTAAACTACATAAACTAAAAAAATTACAATGATATCTATTTAACATTCAATGGACAAGACAGTTTATTTGCAACAGCATGATCAAAGGTTTTCTTCAGAAAGTGTGATATTCTCAGCAGCTTCAGGGCTTCTTGGAATTTCTGCTAATAATTCCAGACATTTGAGTAAAATTACCAACCACCACTCATTCCGCAGATAAAGAAACAAAAGGTAATTTTATTTGACAACGAGATTCTAACAGGAGACCACTTATATGTGTGGCGGACGGGCCGTAGAAGGAGTGGAGTGGGGGTGTCTCTCTCCGGGACATCAAACCTGAGACACAATGAGGCGCAGTTACCCCTCAGTGTCCTGTCATAGCGGTCATTCCCCAGAGGGGGCGCATGTAGCCGCTGTCCGTGGATTGAGGTTGATGTCAAAGAGAAAAGCAATTTGCATTTCTGGAGGTACAAAAACTTTTCATATCTAAGTGATCATTATTCAAAGTCTTGTCAGTTATTTTACTGAAGNATATATTAATATATTTAATAGTTCAAATATTTAATATTTAAATATTTGAAATATTAAAAAATTTTCAAGGATGATGCTCTTTATAATCTGCAAAACTAAAATGTGAAATGAAGGATATTATATAATGCTATCAAATAATTTTGTCAGATAAAAAATTGCTTCAGAAAGCAGCTTGTTTATTTCTTATTAATTCTTAGAATTCATGTCCTGTGTATACATTGTTAAATAGAACAGTTTCACTGTTTTAGTGTATTTTCATTATTCATTATTAAATTCAGTCTCCATTTAAATTTGATACACCATCTGACTTTTTCCCCCTACTCTTCATTCTCTGATAATAGGATCTTCTGTAAACTTTGAACTTGAACACCACTGCCCCCATATGCACTGATAATCTTTCACTAAGGTGGTGTGCTTTTAGCACATCTACAGAATAATAGTGGCCTCTGCTCTTCTTTTCTTTCCATTTAGCTATTAATGGCTACATGTATGGCAACCAGCCAGGCCTAACCATGTGCAAAAAGGATAGAGTCTCCTGGCATCTGATTGGAATGGGCACCGACACGGACATGCATGGAGTTTATTTTCAAGGGAACACCATCCACCTACGAGGGACTCACCGCGACTCCCTGGCCCTGTTTCCCCACGTCTCCACAACAGCATTCATGCAGCCAGACCGTGCAGGTAAACTTGGCAGGGCCAGCTCAGGTGACCAGATTCCTATCTTCAGGCAAGTACTCTTAGGGTCTTACCCCAGAAGAAACTGGTTGAATTTGGACACTTCTGGGTGTGCAGAAGGAAATATAGCCTTGAGTAGAATCAGAGAATCCTGACTATTGTATTTCAAACACTTAACGTGAAGGACAGAGGAAAAGCATCTAATAACATCCATAAAGCAGAAGTAGAAGTCCTCTAAACGACCTGGCCTCACAAATCCTAGGAGAATGCTCTTGATTTATATCCATGAACAATTCAGCCCCAAGAAAGAGTATTTTTGTTTGCTTGTTTATTCTCTTTAAACACGAACTTCATTTTAGTTGCTGCTCGGAAGCATCAACCAGACATGAGCAGCCTGGTGGTTGCTTCCAGGTTGTAGATGTGAACTTGACTCCCTTCTCTAGATATCGATAGTGGTCTCTCGATGAGTCCAAACAGGGACTTGCCTATTGTCACTCTCTTGGGTGCCCAGCAAGCAAGTTGCGTTGGATCTGGAGTCCATGGAGAGCCATTAAAGTGCCAGTACCCACCCCTTCTCTTAGAGATTAACAAGTCAATTAGGTCACTGGGGTATTTTAATAAAAGATAAAGATAAAGAGTAATATTTGGCAACATATGCTCTCTCATGGAAAATAAGAACAGTAAATGCTGTGGATATTCAACATGGTTCTCCAAACCAACTTTTTCATTGGTCTTAAAATGAAACCAATATGCTACTCAAGGTAAGTACTTGCCTGCTGTGTCTCCTTTATGAATAGGTATTTATTTCTTTCCTTCATACTGGAACTGCATTTTAGATGCTACTCCCTGTCACTGGTTAAGAATTTGAGACTTGAGGGAAAAAAAATTCAAAGAGAAAAGAAAATAAAGCTCTTCAAAGCTAGTCTTTTCTATTAACAAGTAGTAAACATGACTTATGTCACCACTTTACACATTAAACATTTCTACCTGAGGCAAATCTAAAATTTTAAGTCATCAAAGAAATATATAGAAAACATATGGACCCTGGGAGCCAACCTAATCCCACCTCAACATTCACTTCTGGCTGCGGTGAGTGTAAATGCATCTTTTCTCCATGATTTTACATTCAGTTATCTGGTTGAGAGAGGAAAAGTCTCCATGACTTACCTACCAAATAAAATACATGGATTTTTAAAGAAAAAAAGAACAAAAGAGGCTTGAGCTTCAAAACTTTTGCCAAAGAACTGCCTCAGACTAGGAGCTCCATTAATCCTTGCCTTGTAAGCTTCTAGTATTCAACCTTTCTATATTAATTGATTGATCAATTATGGATCACCCCAAGGGATGCTTTTGGAACAATTACTTTTAAAAAATTCACTCTTCAAGACCAAAGAGGGGACAAGAGGGAAACAGCCAAATAGTTTTAATCCATCGAGACAGCATTCAAAGCTAGAGAAGGCTGGAATAATTTTAGGGACATGGTTACTTACTCATGGGCCTTACAGGCTTCTGAAGAGCTACCTGACAGTGCTTTCCAGTGTATGTTTGGTGGTGAGTATAAATCAGTGACTGCTGAAAAGCTGAGTCATTTCACCTATTGCCGTCCCATCCTCTAAGCTAAAAGGAGTACCCAAACATGGGTAGAGTAGCCTGTCAGCTGAAAGTCAAACATTTCCTCTTTGATCTTTTTTTTTTTTAAACCACTTTATTGATGTATGACTGAAACACAAAAAGCTGTATATTTAATACATGTAAATTGATGAGTGTGGAAATAGTACGCATCTGTGAAAATATCACCATAATCAAGGCTTTAAGCTCCTCTTTGTTCTTAGAAAAGAAAATTCCTCCTCTGTTGGGGACAGTGAGCACACAAACAGCAGGCTGCCTGAAGACCAGACCCGCAGAGGAAGCTCTGGCCACCTCTGTTGTCAGAAGGGTCTTCTCTTTGTTTTTACAGAGGGTCACCGTTTGTGCCTGGGCGTGCTAGGGTACCCTATGAACCAGTGGTTTGGGCTCATCCCGAAGGGATAATTTGGCAATATTTAGACATGATAGATGCTATCTCTGTGTATTGTAGATAGTTAATGAGACCCACACTCTCATTCACCTCTGAGAACAGAGTCAACTAGAGGAGATTTGTTGATCCAATAATTTCCCTGAATTAACATCTTCCAATAATTTGATTTTGTGTGATTTTATTAATTTAATTTAATTAAAAATTTAATTAAAATATGTATATCTGATGCCAAGGCATCTAGAAAATTCAGCTTAAAAAATCATATAGTTCTCAGTCAGATATGATGGTTGCTATTTCTTTTTCCTTTTCATCTGGCATAATGTAGACCTACCACTGGAAATGAGACTCTCCTCTGCTTAATGAAAAAATACATTTAGCTTTAAGAGTAATAGTTTATTTGTATATTGCACCTTATAGCTTATGAAAGCCTTTAGGGCAAAAGACATGACTTCAGAAGCATGACCTAATTTGAACTTTGTCTAGACAGGTAATTAGTTCCTTTTAAACTGGAGTGACTATCCTCTAATAGGTGTGTACAATAGGGGAGACCCAGAGAAATAATTTCTTGGCAGCAACTTTGCAAGTTTCTTATTTGTTTTTGGACATGACAGATGAATTTCAGATGGCATTTTTTCCCCATACGTAAATATATTTACAGCAATTTATTCCTCTTAGGGTCTGATTTTTAAATGCTATAGAATGTTGATATCTTAAAAATTCACCTGACCGGTAATTTTGTAATAATTACGGAGGTTTGCTAGCAAACCAAAAGCAAACGCTCGAGCATTGCTCTGAACGCCAAGCCATGTCTCTTCCAGGCATCTTCAGGGTCTTTTGCTCCACCCTGCACCACTTGGCGAGAGGCATGCATCAGATATATGAGGTCAGCAGCTGCGGCAATAAGGACCCTCCTGAGCAGCCCTATGGGATGATAAGAACCTTTTACATCGCCGCTGAAGAGGTAGAATGGGATTATGCCCCTAACAAAAACTGGGAGTTCGAAAAGCAGCACTTGGACGCAGGAGGGGAAAGGTACCACAGGCCGAGCCGCCGCCGTCTCTGGGGTGGGTTAGCACACGTGCGTGGACGTTCGGCAAACGCCGAACGTAAAAGGGCCCCGGGTGTTGTCTGCCCAGTCCTGGCAGACAGACATGTCACCCAGGAACACGAAAGCCTAGGGAAGTCGCCGTCCCCCTCTGAGGGAGCAGTCTGAAGCCAGTCTGGTCCCCGGGAGGCTGGCGAGCGCGGGGCCGGTCAGCGCAGAGGCTTGCCTCCCGGGCACCCGGGGGAAGCGATGCAGAGAGAAGCAGGGCCGCTGCGCAGAGCTGGGGGTGGGGGGGTGGGCGCTGCAGATGGNTACTAGAGCTCATCAATATATTAGGTAAAGCTGCATGGTACAAAAAAATCTCGTCCACTCCAATATGAAAATGAAAGATCAGAAAAAGAAATTAAGAAAACAATCCCATTTACCACTGCATCAAAAATAATAAAATATCTAGGAACAAACCTACCTAAAGAGGTAGAAGACCTGAAAGCCACATGACACTGATGAAAGAAGACAGAGACGGATGGAAAGACACACCATGTTCTTGGATTGGAAGAAACAATGCTATCAAAATGCCTATACTACCCAAGGCAATACAGATTGAAGGCAATCTATAGATTGAAGGCTGCTGCTGCTAAGTCACTTCAGTCGTGTCTGACTCTGTGCGACCCCATAGACGGCAGCCCACCAGGCTCCTCTGTCCACAGGATTCTCCAGGCAAGAACACTGGAGTGGGTTGCCTGGGTGGGCAGCCCTTCCCAGGAAGAAGGAAATGGCCACCCACTCCAGTATTCTTGCCTGGAGAATCCTGTGGACAGAGGAGCCTGGCAGGCTACAGTCCATGGGGTCACAAAGAGTCGGACATGACTGAATGACTTTCACTTCACTTCAATTATTCACCAACACGTTTTGTTAAACCAGACACGCCCCCTGCCAAAGTAGTGCTGCTTATACAAGTTAAAAACGGATAATTCAGTATAAAGTGAAAAGATACTAATTTGGTCTTTTCTAAAATAATTATTTCATTAACAGGCTGCTATCTCTGAAGACATTATGTATAATAATTGTCACATGTACAGTCCAGCCAATGAGTGTGTAAGAAATATATCCTTCTTTTCTTGAAACTCAGTGTAATTTCTGTTTTCAGCCCCATCCCTCCAGGCTGACAGAAAGAGCTAGCTTTAATCTTATGGGATTGTCTTTCAAGCTTCTTAGAGAGCTAGAGGGTGGTGGGTGTGTCTGCACCCTGTCCCTGCCATTCTGGTCTTGCCCATAAATAAATGACAACAAAGTGAAACGAGAGCATTTTCATCTATTAAAGATACAACAGAAGAGCCACAACCACAGTCTTCTAGATCAGCACTAATATAGGAGACTATATCCATTCTTGGCTACTGAACACTTGAAATGTGGTAGTCCAAATTGAGATGAGCCATAAGTATAAAACATACTCTGGATTTCATAGAATCAGTATGAACAAAAACATAAACTATATAACTAATAAATATTTTACGATTATCACATGATGAAATGATAAAATTTTGGTTGTGTTGGGTTAACTGAAATTGTTAAAATTGATTTCACCTGTTTAAAAGGCAGCAGCTCTGTAGATAAAAATGCAGGACAGAGTTGCAGTGGCAGGTTGTCCCACTGACAGCCTGTGGCACCCCTGTAGATCAGAGCCCAGGAGAAAATGCCCTCCTACCCGTTACTCTGCATCTATCGTTTGACCCAAGGCCATATCTTAGGACACTTCTGGGTTCCAAACCACTCAGTATGGGTTTTCCCTGAAACATTTATTGTCCTGGTCAGCACAGACCCTCTGCCTCACCTTGGAACCTGGAAGTCTTTCCCTGTGGCTTCCTAAGAACATAGTGCAGAGAACTCAGGATCCCAGAAAGGCAACAGATGGACTGTCAGCACAATGCCAGGGTCTGTGCAGTGAGAGGGAGTTTGAAAGCATAGAGTAGGTTGCTATAGAGAATTCGCTCATAGCTCATCTGGTAAAGAATCCGCCTGCAATGCAGGAGACCCTGGTTCGATCTCTGGGTGGGGAAGATCCACTGGGGAAGGGAAAGGCTACCCACTCCAGTATTCTGACCTGGAGAATTCCATGGACTGTATAGTCCATGCAGTCGCAAAGAGTTGGACACAACTGAGTGACTTTTGGTTCACTTCCTACCGCTCTTGAACTTGTAGACTGATGCGCATGTAATTTAACTAACCTGGGATTTGAGGTAAGACTCAGCATCTATTGAGCACCACCCTTCATAAGCCAGGCCTTTTGCTGAGCATTTTCCATTCCTTCAGCTTTGGCCCAGCAATGTCACATGACCTCCCAGTGAGATGACAATAGAGTAAGCACTCAGGTGGTTCTTAACAGGTGTCTGACACTGACACAGCTTTACAGGTCTCAACTCCTGTGATCCTCACATCACTCCTGGGAGTTGGGTGAATTATTATCACCTCATTTTGCAGAGGAGGGAAGCTAGAAAACAGCACAGGTAGCTCAAGAGTCTGGGCTTATCACCACCATACATTGCTACTAGGACTCCTGAAAAATAAAAGTAGAAGAAAATTTTCTTCCTTGGAAAGCACACAGTGGGGGGTAGAAGGTACACGTACATTTGTAAAGTACCTACTGTGTGCTCGGGGATTGTGCAATCAAAGTGCTGAGAAGGTCCTTTCTGCACAGATTTCATGTTCAGGGGGGAAGACATCAGAGCAAACACGCTGAGTCATGCAGTCACTGTGGGAGGGGCAGAGGGTGGGTGGTCAGGGAAGGCTTCTGGGAGGAGGTGGTCTTTGAAGGGAGGGCCCGTTGAAGAGGTGGACAGTACAGGAAGGCAGCATGGGGAAGCTCTGCAGGTGTGGAGGGCCTTCGGGGTCCAAGAGAGGGAGTGTGCAGAATGGCGTGAGCATAGAGTGTGTGGGTGGTGGTGATGGGAGACCAGGCTTGGGAGCTTGGTAGAGGCAAGTGGGGAAGTTTTGCTGTTGTTCAGCCACTAGGTCATGTCAGATTCGTTGCGACCCCATGGACTGCAGCCCTCCAGACTCCTCTGTCCTCCACTGTCTCCCAGAGTTTGCTCAAATTCTTGTCCATTGAGGCGGTGATGCTACCTAACCATCTCATCCTCTGCTGCCTCCTTCCCCTTTTGCTTTCAGTCTTTCTCACCATCAGGGTCTTTTCCAATGTGTCAGCTCTTTGCATCAGGGAAAGGGGTATGAGAGCTAAATCAAGGAGTCTGCCAGTGGGAAGCCGTAAAAATCTTTTTGACAAGGACTGATATATTCAAATGTGTAGTTAGGATCTCTCTGCCTCTGTAGACAGGAGAGGGAAGGGAGGAGAATCAGGAGCAGAGAACACAGTAAGGAAGTTTCAGTTAATACGGGTGAATCAACAGATGAAGTCTGTGACTTAGGTTATACTGTGGGCAGTTTGACCATGGAAAAATGTGAGGCACAATATATTTTGGAGATGAAGTTGATAGATTTGTTTCTGTCTTTTGTAGTGATCTAGGTTGGTACTAGATAAAATATAGAGTTGATTCTCATTATTTGCAGATCTCATATTTGCAAATTTGCCCACTTGCTGAAATTTATCTGTAACCCTCGAATCAGTTCTTATGGTGCTTTCATGGTCACTTGCAGAGCAGTGAAAAATTCATGTCACCTGATGGTCACATTCCCAGCAGAGGTCAAACCAGCCAGGCATCTCTGTTTCCTCGTTTTAGCTCTCCCACCCATCCTCTTAGTCAGCTATTTAGTGTCACCTTTTTCTTCCTTGTTCTTTTTGTTGGTGACTTAGCTGTTTATTTATTTATTTATTTATTTATTTTCATTTATTTTTATTAGTTGGAGGCTAATTACTTCACAACATTGTAGCGGGTTTTGTCATACATTGACATGAATCAGCCATGGAGTTACATGTATTCCCCATCCCGATGCCCCCTCCCACCTCCCTCTCCACCCGATCCCTCTGGGTCTTCCCAGTGCACCAGGCCCGAGCACTTGTCTCATGCATCCCACCTGGGCTGGTGATCTGTTTCACTATAGATAATATACATGCTGTTCTTTCAAAACATCCCACC